TTTTGTACAGTTTTGTACATAGTCAGAAACAATTTGTAAGATTCACTGTCATTTTCCCCAACTAGAAACGTTTGCTTTTCGTTTGTGACAATTGTGCCATAGGGTGATATCACAAATGTCTCAATTACGTGAAAAATATTTTTTTCTGTAAATTTTCATATCCAATTCAATTCAAAAACATTTTTATTTTTTTATTCATTGCAGCTATTTGTTTTGTGTTTAGTTATTGGATATGTGTACATACATATATATATTTTTCTCTGCACGATTCATTTCGTTTGTTGTTTCGTCTGTAACTACTAAACTACTGTAGTGTACTATCGCCAAAGTGAACTCAGCCGTTTTGTTTTCGTATTGTACCGAACTGTTGAAGTAATAAACGAAACGAAATAGTAACGTACAATATAGTTTATTTTCGTACCCTGGTTGAAAATATGATTTTATAAAATAAATAAGTGCATTGTTATTTAGTAGAGAAACCTTGAGGAACACATTTCAGGGATTTTGGAACGAGGACAATAATTCGCTACATACAAAAAAGTAGTTAAAGCTAGCCACATTCCTCACTACTTGCAATCACGCTAAAATCGCCCATTATTGTTATTTATTTTTAAATTTAATCACCAGCATTCAATCTTTCACCGTGTTCATCTCTCTTGTGTTGAATTTTGTGAGACATTGCGCGGTTTTCAAAGCTGTCCCATAGGAAACCCGGTTTTTATCGTGCAATCCGTGCACCGTGCCAGGGTTTTGCAAGACTCCGAGAATACCCCTATTGAGCATTTCACTGCATTGCACATGATTTCTTGTAGTCGAGGATTTTGCTGCTGCCAAGCTTTCACAGCTTTTTTAACCGACTTCCAAAAAAGGAGGAGGAGGTTATCAGTTCGTCGAAATTTTTTTTTGTTTTTATGTATGTTACCGCATAACTTTGGACCACGTCAACCGAATTCAATAATTCTTTTTGCATCGGAAAGGTAGTGTCTCATAGGTGTTGCCATACTTATCTGGTTTAAATCCGATCATTGGATCTAAGAATTGAAGTCGGTTTTGTTTCTTGCTTAAAAATTACTTGTTTTATTAAACCAGCTTAGAGCCTATCAAATCACATAATCGTTTGTAATTCTACATAAGTGTGTATAGAATGCACAATGCAGAATGTTAAACGCTGTTTTTTAATAAAATAAAATTAAATTAAATTTATAACAATTTTTATAAAATTATACTCAAAATTCAAAAGTATAAGAAAATTTTCAGTTATGGACTTTTTATTAAACTAGCTCTATAAAATCGAAAATACATCCAATAGCTGCGTTAGTAGGCTTAACGTTTTTGTAATAGAATTCTCTTCAGCATAGGATGGCTAACTTTTTTTCGTCCGAACACTTTTTCTGATTTCAAGGTGGTCGAATCTGAAACTTTGTGTAAAACAATGAGCTTTTTCTTAAATTTTCTGCATATCTTTTTCTATAGTGACCAAACCACATGTGTGATTTATGGCTATGAAGGCAGACAGATTTTGTTGGAGTCTCCTTTAAAAATCTCTCCCAGAAATAAAACCGATAGGATGACAAATACAACTTTTAGACGCAACATATGTGATGTAGTGTATCGCAACTATGGGATTTTTCATATTTCCACCGATATCTAAGAAACTAGGTCTGTCCCAGAGAAACCATTATGATATTCGGAATCAAGATAAAGTTCTTTGTTAGAAAAATTGTTTGTCATTCTTGGTGGTCAAAGTTGATCAAAAATGGTTGAGTAGTGTTATTCGTTCAGATTAGACCTCAACCCTCATGATCTCTTTCTTGGAACAAAAGTTAAACGAAACGAAAGCTAATGATCCTCTTCTTAATATATTAAAATGGATCGTCGCCGAAATTCAGCGAATTCTAAAAACGCGCATAATTTACTATTCAAATAGCTCAAATTATTTTTTTCTAACAATTGTTCTTAATTTAAAGTTTATTGAAGATTTTAGGCGAATTTATAAAAACAACCAACATTTTAACATGCAAAATTCATTCATACACCAATATTTTGTAAGCATTTTACAAATTTTTCTTCATCTATTAGTTATATAGTATTTGTATAGAAGATTTACGATTAACATCATTGAAATATATTCATATTTGATCGATTGATAAAGTATAGTAAAAAAAGAGTATTGCTAATAATGAAATTTTGTGTAATATAGGATAGAGAATCATACATACACGAAAAATGTGACACTTCATTAAAAAATTTTTATATTTAGTACTTGAAAAAGATCAATGGAAAAAATCATTGTAATATATTAATTCATGGATATATACGTATAATATTATGAATGTATGTATGTACATACATATAAGCAGAATAATACTAGTTGTAAACTTTCAAAATATAAATGAATGTCGAAAAATATCAGCATTTTTTTTTAATATTTATAATTACTTTAGTCGACGGAGTACCTTCCAAGCCGTCGGAAGTTAGGACGAACTGACTCGACGTGAATAAAGAATTATTTATGGCACTCTTCTGGATACAAATTATAGCAGGCTTTGAATATGAACAACAGCGTTCGAAGTTATCCAAGGCGAATTCATACAAGGTGTTGTTATCGGAGCAGCTGATTTCAAAGCGAATTGCGCTGATTGTCAAAATGATGTGTTAGTTGTACATTTTTTGTGTTTTGATTGTCATCGTGCGAATAATTTGTTAGTGTTGTTTTTGTGCTGACGCTTTCACATGGTATGAATCGCCTTGTAGTCATCTATTGAAAGCAATTAAATTGGTATATTTTCCACAAATGGTGTATAGCCAATTTAAGGCGACCTAAAGTTGCTGTCCGGACGTTCTTGAAACGTACCTCATTTTGGAGGGGACTGAAGATTTGCTTACAATTCAGCAAATTGGTTTATGATACAAAAAAATTTTGTATGTATAGTTAATAAAAGAATAAACAGGGATTACCACTGCATCAACTTTATCTGTCTAACGATTTTTATTATCGGACGTTCGGATTTTTTCCTCTAAGTAAAAACATAAATTTTTCTTACATATGGGTATTTCCTGGGTTACGGACGCGACATTCGTACGACTTTAGAGTTAAATAAATCATACGAAAACTGAAGTCACTTGTAAAAAAATTTTGCTGTTGTGTAGCTTTTATACAGTCCTTTGGTTGACAAAAAACTAGGTGCGCTTGGAACACTGAAGTCGAGAAAATCGATGAAAAGTAGGGCATAACGGACGCTACAAAAACAGAAGTGATTTGAGAGTACATGTTAAAACTAAGCAAAACTCAGCGAATCGTGTAAGGTT